TGGCAGCCTTCATCACTAGGCCAAATAAAAAAAACAAAAAATCAGTAGGCCATAATCAAAAGTCAATAAAAGCAACTTTGACCGACCCATTAATTACTCAACTCTTTCGGTTTGTCCCCTCTGAACTTTGATTCCCCCTTTCAATAATTCCTCGCGTGATGTTTAGAAATTAAGAAGAGTGGGCCTGCGGAGAAAAATGTATAAGTAAAGATTTTGATTTTTTATTTTTTATTTAAAAATATTAATTTTATTAATTTTTAAATAAATGTATTAATTTTTTATTTTTTATTTAAAATTAATTAAATAATAATATTAACATAATAAATAAAATTTTTAATAAAAATATGAAAAATTTATGTTTTTAAATAAAAAAATTAATACTTTAATTTAAAAATTAATAAAATTAATATTTATAAATAAAAACTATATAAAATTAATATTTTTACCTACACCTTTTCTCCGATTGCTAAAGAAATTTCGGATGATCTTTCCACATTAATCTCTTTAAAATCTTGAAGCTCCATAAAAATGTCCATATTAGCTAATACTAATGTACTAAGGAAAGAGCAATGGCTACTTTGGGTCCCCTCTTCCTTTATCTCTTTATTTCTCTGGTTCTCACCCTTTCTTCTGCCCAGAGAGGTGGCTGGCTTGCCGATCCCTGTTTATATGGCACAGGCAATTTCACCACCAATAGCACCTACCATACCAACCGCAATCATCTCCTCTCCTCCTTTACATCCATCTCAGAAAACGACTATGGGTTCTATAATGTTTCCTCCGTTGGCCGAAACCCGGACCAAGTTAACGGAATTGCATTATGTAGAGGAGATGTCAAGCCGGATGTTTGCCGTGACTGTATCAAAGATGCTGCCATTGAGCTCAGAGATAGTTGTCTCACCAAGGAAGCAGCTCAATTTTATGACAATTGTATGTTGCGGTACTCGAATAATTCCATCATCGGCGTCCGGAACAATAATGGTTTCTTTAGATGGCCAGAAGGGGGTATTGCGGAGGACGTTAGTGCTTTCAGTGATGCTCTGACGAGTCTATTGGACAGCCTGAGAATAAGGGCGGCGGCGGGTGGTTCTGTTCAGAAGTTTGCTACGGGGATGACGATGGCTCGTCCGGTGGACTCCATTTACGCACTTGTACAGTGCACTCCTGATTTGTCCCAGATTCAGTGCAGCTCTTGCTTGTCTCAGGCTTTTGAGAGAATTCCAAAATGCTGCCTAGGTCGGAGAGGAGGTAAAATATTTGGGCCTAGTTGTATTGTTAGGTTTAATGACTCTATTTTCTATAATGATTCCAGTGCTAATATTGGAAAGTTACCGCCACCGCCGTCGCTGCTCTCACAACCACCTCTATCTCTTACTCCACCCTCCAATGATTCCGGCAGCCCCAGCACTATTACCATCACAGTCATTTCTACTTCTAGCTCCATACTTCTCATCTCCATCTGCATCTGCATCTTTGTCAGGGTGAGGAAATCAAATAAGAAATTTGAAAGTAAGTCTAAGTCTAATTAAGTTGATTTTATTTTATTTTTTCCTTTGGAATGTTTGACTGGAAATCAATTATGCTTCCTTTCTGCATGGACTAAATCACTTATACCTGTGAAGAAGCTGAAGCTGTCGATGAAATTGAAAGTGTAGAGACGCTACAATATGATTTAAGCACCATTAGAGATGCAACAAATAACTTTTCCGATGAAAACAAGCTTGGTCAAGGGGGATTTGGTGCTGTTTATAAGGTAAAGAAGTAATTTTAAGTACCATATTGTGGAATAAAACAGTAATTTCATTTAAGAAACAAGGTTACTAGCTAATTATAAGATTACTTATTTATGTTCTTTTATATAATTTTAGGGTAGACTTGCCAATGGACAAGAAGTAGCTGTTAAAAGGTTATCCATGAATTCTGGACAAGGAGATCTTGAATTCAAAAATGAGGTTCAATTAGTGGCTAGATTACAACATAGGAATTTGGTTAAGCTCCATGGCTTTTGCTTGGAAGGGAAGGAAAGACTTCTCATTTATGAGTTTGTGCCCAATTCTAGCCTTGATCGCTTCTTATTTGGTAATATTTGTCTTACCCTAACTACTTTTAGATTCTATGCACAATTAAATCATCTATAAAGAAAAATCATATTATGTGTGCACAACTATTATGTAGATCCAATCAAGCGCACACAATTATCTTGGGAAACACGTTACAAAATTATAGGAGGCATTGCTAAAGGGATTCTTTATCTTCATGAAGATTCTAGACTTAGAATTATTCATCGTGATCTCAAAACTAGCAATGTTTTGCTAGACGAAGAAATGAATCCAAAGATTTCAGATTTTGGCATGGCAAGATTGTTTGTTGTTGGTCAAACTCAAGATGCTACAAGTAAAGTAGTGGGAACCTAGTAAGTACTATCACAATTACATCATGCTATTTTGCAACTATTACTGTTTATGTGAACATATTTGGTCACATTTCATTTAAATGTCAAATTGCAGTGGATATATGGCTCCAGAATATGCCGTGCGTGGACAACTATCAGTTAAAATAGATGTGTACAGTTTTGGAGTATTAATTTTAGAAATTGTGAGCGGTCAAAAAATTAATTACATTCATCATGAGGAGAATTTAGCAAACCTTATAGGTGATGTAAGTAAATGGGATTGGTGCACATGAAATTGAACATTTTTTATCGGTAATAAGAAATAGAAAATTTTGAAAGATTAATCTTTGATTTTATTTTTCATGTAGGCCTGGAGAAATTGGAGGGAAGGAACACCGCTGAACATTGTGGATCCTAGCTTGAGCACAGGCTCAAGCGCAGAAATGATAAGATGTATTCATATTGGGTTACTTTGCGTGCAAGAAAATGTCGCGAAGAGACCAACCATGGGTTCAATTGTTGTAATGCTTACCAGCTACTCTGTAACTCTGCCGATGCCTTCACATCCTTCATTTTTCTTGTATAGCGCCACTCAGTCGAACACGTCATCTTCTCAGAGTTTCAACTTGGAGGGAACTCAATTACATAAATCGAGAAATGAAAGTGCCACGGCTTCAATAAATGAGGTTTCAATTACCGAGCTGCATCCAAGATAGCTTGAAGACCTGTTATTTATATATTATAATCATTATCATTTCTCGCTTTCTTCTCTTTTGATGAGCGTACCATTTGCCTCCAAATTTTGTTGATGTATGAAACTTAGAATGAAATAATTATTACACAATTTTCTAATTAATTTATAGATTTTTTTATCTTGTATATTTAAAATACATATTAAAAGTAAAATAAATATATTTTTTTATAATTAATTTTTATTAAAATATAAATATTGATTTTAAATTATTAATTATCTAAATATAAATATTGATTTTATTGTAATTAATTAATTTTTAAAATCATCCACATATTAATAAT